CATTGGATGGTGGAAATAAAGAATGGGGTTGATAAAGTGAAAAAAAAAATCCTGAAATCTAAATATCTTTTGCAATTATCCTAAAATCTACAACAAAATTAAGAGAGGTTATGATTTGCAATCCCTTTTGGCATATTCTGCTTTGCAATCTAGAATTCTGATGTTGATTACTAATTTACTTGTGACATTCTCAAGCAATAACTGTTTCTATATATTTCAAATGATATTCAGCCAGAAGTTTCTTGCAAGCAGTTTAAAGCACTTTGTAAATTCATGAAATAACATACATGAGGTGGGGATGGAAGAGGCATTCTTTCTCACAAGTTAACTTCTGATACATGATTATTCCAAGTAAATAGCTTTTTCTTCATCAAGATTAACATTTGGTCCAGAGGCAACTCTAGCGGTCAAAAAGTCAAGATGATGGCTTCAATCAGATGCTTATGGCTACCACCTTGAGCACTCTGCAAATGCCTTGCCTTGTCTTTTGTCTTAGAAACTCCAGAAATATGTTGTTTTCCTTTAACCTACTTCAGTTGCTATATGTTTATGAGCAATCTGATTTTCAATTGCTATGAACTCTTGCCTCATCTCACTTCCTAACTCTTGACTCCATAGTGATGAGAAATCAGTTATGAAAGAAACAAATAGAATTCAAGATATTCTTAAATGTGTTTTTTTTTTAATTTGATTTATATGCCACCCTTCTCCGGAGACTCAGGGCGGCTTACAATGCATTAAGCAATAGCCTTCATACTTTTGTATATTTATACAAAGTCAGCTTATTGCCCCCACAAACTGGGTCCTCATTTCACCTACCTTAGAAAGGATGGAAGGCTGAGTCAACCTTGAGCCTTGGAGAGATTCTAAGCAGCAGTAAATTGCAGGCAGCTGTGTTAATAACAGGGTGCGTAGACCACTGTACTATCAAGGCTTTTTATGGCTAATATTCGAAAACAGACAAGATTACTTTTCTGCAATATGGATTCTAACCTTGTATTTGGAGGAAGAACAGCTGACCACAGAAGCAAGAACCTGAAGTCAAATAGCAGAAGTCCCGAAGAAAATAAGATCAAATTCTACTGAGAGGACCTGTATGTAACAGTAAAGTTGGTCAGCATAATTTACTTTGCTACCTTAGTTGGCAAAAGAAGAAGGGGACGGCAGAGAATGAGGTGATTGGATGGAGTCACTGAAACAGTAGGCGTGAGCTTAAATGGATTCCAGAGGATGGTAGAGGACAGGAAGGCCTGGAGGAACGTTGTCCATGGGGTCGCGATGGGTCGGACACAACTTCGCAGCTAACAACAACAACAACAACAACCTTTGTTGTATTTTCAGGTAGCTATTTAACAGAGCTTCTTCAGCTGCTGAAAGGACTATTTAGAAAAAGTTCCAGTGACCAAAATGGTAATGACTCAAAAGCTTTTTTATGACAAATTTGCAAAGCATCCTTTTGATCCAGGTTCTGTAGCAGATGGGAAGCTCTAGAAACACTTTGCAAATCGGCTCGCCCTGTTTACACTGGTCCAGCCAGGTTCAATAATAAATGACCTTGATGAGTTTTGCCAGAAATGACAGAGTATCAGACAGACAGACAGACAGACACACTTTATTTCAGTCATTGACCAATAAAAGTACAATCAATAATGAACAACACAAAACTATCCCCTAACAACCAGAACAAATAGCAAACATTTGTGGGCGAAACTTACACATAATGTAGCAGGATTTTGCTACTTTTAGAAAAACAAATTTATCTTGATTTAAAAGATAAAAGCTATCAGAGCACCCCTGAAATTTAAACAAAAGGTGGCAATTGAATTGTCCTTGTTAGAACTGGCTGTATAGTAATAGCAATAGCACTTAGATTTATATACTGCTTCACAGTGATTTACAGCCCTCTCTAAGAGGTTTACAGAGTCAGCATATTGCCCCCAACAATCTGGATCCTCATTTTACTGACCTCAACCTTGAACTGGCAAGAATCGAACTACCAAACTGCTGGCAGCTGGCAGTCAGCAGAATTAGCCTGCAGTACTGCATTCCAACCATTTCACCACCATGGTTCATGTAAAAGAAGATGGGCTCTGCTTTCTACAGTACCTATATCACTGGAGCTGCATCAGAATTCAAATGGGGTTTTACTATAGTTTCCTTCCACGACAGCTATGGGAGAACATGAAATTGAAAGATAGGGGGTCTCCTAAATTTGGAAGGTCTGATACGTTATAAATATGGCATTTGGTTATTTGCAATTGTATTATGAAAGAAAGTGATTTTTGTTTGACCTTCTGTATCTAAAATGCTTTGCCTTAGTATTAATCTAGCTTGATCTGAATCTACGGTTAAGATGGCACCAGAGGTGGGTTTCAGCAGGTTCTGGCCAGTTCTGGAGAACCGGTAGCTGAAATTTTGAGTAGTTCGGAGAACCGGTAGTAAAAATTCTGACTGGCCCCGCCCCCATCTATTCTCTGCCTCCCGAGTCCCAGCTGATTGGGAAGAAATGGGGATTTTGCAGTAACTTTCCCCTGGAGTGGGGAGGGAATGGAGATTTTACAGTATCCTTCCCCTGCCACACCCACCAAGCCACGCCCATGAAGACATGCCACGCCCACAAAACCACACCCATAGAACCAGTAGTAAAAAAATTTGAAACCCACCACTGGATGGCACCACTAGAGGAACCATAGAGGTTCAGGGGGTTTTTGGATTGCCATTTCCCAGGAAGGTTGTTAGTTGTCCTGTTGAATTTCTAGACCTCATCTTGACCTCTGATGCATGAGTACAAGATGTTTTAAATCAGACTAAGGACTTTCCAGTCCAGCATATTATAACAGTGACTAACTAGATACACAGCTATTTATTTGACTTAGATTTCATGCTGCATTCAGGAGCCCAAGGCATATGAACATGGAAGTCATAAAATCCTGTTCCACTGGTGCTCCTCAATAGCTGGATTCTGAATGTGTGTCATCTATGATTCAAGAATTGTAAGACACCAAGAGCCTATATATCTGTTGTGGCCCGTCAGTGGCCTGTGCGGATTGTAGCTGATTCCGACAACGAGGAGGCTGGTGTGGTGCTGCGCCAGCAGCCTGTGCAACTGGCACTCGAGTCGGACAGTGAGGAGGCTGGAGAAGATGTGGTGCCAGAGGCAGGGATTCAGCCAGGGCCTTCAGAAGCTCCAGAAGCTCCTTTAAGTGAAGAGGACGAAGAGGAGGAGCCTCTTCTCAATGCATGGGCGCGCAGAGCTGCCAAAAGGCAGGAGTGGCTCCTCAGGAGGAGGTCTCCTTGAGAGTAAGGCTTGGGGCTAATTGGCCACTCCCTTAGCCTATATAAGGAGGAACGCTGCTTGCAGCAAACTGTAGGGAACAACTTTAGTTCACTCTCCGTCGCGTCTGGATTCTCTGCAAAATTGCTTCTGGGCTTTCTGCCAACTCTAGTAAGACTGTGATTACCTTATCTTAGAATTCTGGTAGGCTGTTAAGACAGTTTATTAACAGCCTTTGGTTGATAAAGACTGAGTTATTTGAGTAAAATAAGTTTTGTATAGAGTTTGTGTGTGCTGCGTTCTTTGCAGTCCGTAGCTGGGGCAAAACAATATCCGGGATAGCGAACCTATAGTATATGTGCCAGAGGTGGCACACAGAGCCTTCTCTGTGGGCACGCGTGCCATTGCCACCTGCTCTTCCGGGGTCCGTCATGTGCCTGCTCACTGGCCAGTTGTTCCCTTCTGGGTTCCGGTTCTCTGGTGCACGTGTGTGCGTGCATGCACCCATGCTCCAGTTTCGGCACTCAATGCCAAAAAGGTTAACCATCAATGCTATATATGAAATGCATCTGTCTGGTTCCCTTTAAAAATGCAACTAGACCCTTTATTTAATATCTAAACTGGTGGTGCTATTGTAATTGATACCAATCCATGATTTAACTATGTTAAATATAGATAGTCCTCGACTTACAACAGTTCATTTAGTAAGCATTCAAAGTTACAACGGCACTGAAAAAAGTGACTTATGACCGTCCTTCAGACTTACAACCATTGCAGCATCCCAAAGGTGGCATATTGAAAATTCAGATGCTTGGCAACTGACTCATGTTTATGATGGTTGTCGTATCCTGGGAGGGTGGGGGGGTGTCACATGATCAGCTTTTGCGACCTTCTGACAAGCAAAGTCAATGGAGAAGCCAGATTCACTTAACAGCCATGTTACTAACTTAACAACTGCAGCGATTCACTTAACATCTGTGGCCAGATAGGTCATAAAATGGGGCAAAACTCACTTAACAAATGTCTCGCTTAGCAACAGAAGTTCTGGGCTCAATTGTGGTCATAAGTGGAATACTACCTGTAACTTTCTGTATCAGTTTCAATGGATGAGCTCAATTTCTAACAATACAGTATAATAGAGCAAGGGAAAAACCCTCTGGCCACAGTATGATTTTATAATATTTTTTGGTCACATTTCCCTATGCAGTACTTGCTTACGAACTAATCCCAAAAGCCCGCTCATTGTAGTGTTTCCTTGTAAAGGAGGTGCTGTAGCCTATTAATCACATTGGTGGTCTTTTATTGCATCTTTTCCAGCATCGTTTTACATGTACAAGTCGGATACCATCAATCCTGTTCTTTTGTTATTTTATTCTCGTTTAATAGCAATAGCATTTTGACTTATATACTGCTTCATAGTGCTTTTACAGCCCTCTCTAAGTGGTTTACAGAGTCAACCTATTGCCCCCAACAATCTGGGTTCTCATTTTACCAACCTCGGAAGGATGGAAGGCTGAGTCAACCTTGAGCCAGTCAGAATCAAACTGCTGGCAGTCAGCAGAATTAGCCTGCAATACTGCATTCTAACCACTGCGCCACCACAGTTCTTTAACAACATTGGCTTTATTTGAATGAATCCCCATGCCATCCTCCTTGCCTATTGATGACAACCTGGAAGTAAAATTAATTCAGCCATTACAATTAAGCAATCGTACATAAGAAAAGCTTGAGTGGAGGTTTTTTTAATGTACCCTATTGGCTCCCTCTTCCTTTCTCATTCCACTTTTTCCAAATCTTGGCAACACTTCCCTGAGATTATAGCTGGAGTGTTTTTTCTCTGTTGTTTTACTTTCTGTTTTTCTTTTTGACACTGCTACTGGAAAGCTTTACGAAACAATGCCACTGGAGAAAAGGAAATTACTCCATGCTGTGGAACTTTTGCTACAACCTGATCTTAAGATATCAGTTGTGTGTTTTATTTCTCTCCTCCTGTTTCCTATAGCCACTTCACTTCATCCACACGTTCACTGTGCATTTTGTTTTTTCCTGCTGTCATTGAGCCTGTGCAAGTTGCCTCCCTCTGCATTTTTCCCATCCCAGAAGCCTGAAATATTGCTTCTGAATGGAAGCAGGTAATTGTGTGTTATCCCACTGATGGTAACGGAAGGCAGGCATGCTGGAATCCTGCTTGGAGTAATGTACTGATTAGAGAGAGCCATTCAGGTTGATTAAGTGGCCTTTTCATCGAAGCAAACGGCTATCTACTTCTTTCTCCAAAGCCACCTTCAGTGCTTCAGGCCGTCTTAGACTCATGCATAGGAACGGCAGAAGTGGCCTAGGGTTAGAAAAATAAATATTAATAGCTCTGGATGACTATTGTTGGATGAAAGAATAGGCTTAGCAAAAGAAGTTGCACTGGTGCTGCTTTTTGACCGAGGTTTCCAATGATGCAGCGAGAGATCTTTTTTAGATTTGGGACTGAATGATGTTAAAAGGCAGGTAGGGACTTGAAAAGGCTCTGAGTATTGCATTACTTTTGTCTCGAAGCATATAAATAGCTTGGGAATAAGGACAGTTTTCTCACAGACAAGAACAATACATTTTTTTTTAAATAAAACAAAACAAAATAAAACAAAAGGCAATGGACAGCTCTAACCAAGAGCACCTCCAGGTAGCTCAAAATATATATTTTAATAACAATAAGACAAAGGAAATCACCAGCACCAAATGTGCCTTTGTGACAGTAGACTGTCTACGAATACCTCCAGGGTGGAAAAGATTGCTATCTTTCTACTGACACCAATATGGAATTGTTCTTACTATCATTAAGTCTCTTCTGATGTTCGCGTGAAATATGGCCTCCTTACCATCTCAGCTTGCAAGATCTAAATCTCTCCAGGGCAACAAAGAATAAGTCTTTGCTTCAGGTACTTAGAAACACGATCTTGGTCCCCATTACTTCCTCAAACTCTGTCGCTAATGATAAAACAAAGTCTTGGTAAATATTTTCTGAACTTTCCTTATGTCTGGTGAAAAAAACAAAATCAAAGCCCTATTGTAAGCATTCCCAAAACCAATTGGGAACAACATGCCCTTAAATCATAGTTGATATGCCAGGCATTTTTTTCCCTCATATTTTAGCGGTTTATATACTTTATGTTATCAAGAAAATACTGCAGCATACAGAAAATGTTTCATAAAAGAAATCTTGCATATCAATAGTGAAAGGAATACAAATGTAATTTTATTACCTGCAGACTTTGCATTTGTTAAACATTTGAGGCTTTTCAGACCTATCATAAAAATGAGTGCGGGGAAAGACAGACTGATCAAATAAATTCCTGAGTGTATCCCAACTTGAAATAGGGTAGGAACTACACAAATACAGGAGTTTTTAAGGATCCAAGGGCAGAAAAGGCACCTCAGCAAGAGATAAGCTTTTTGGACCTCCAGACCTTGAAAGTAGAAATTAATCACCCACAAGGCTTGGGTACCATTGAAGAAGCTCATTTCTGCTGTCCAGCAATTTGCTATGTTCTTGTATCCTTTTTTTTGCATCAAGAGCATGTAATACTTTATAAAATGCATAGCCGACAAGAAAATAAGCATATTTCTGGACTGCACCACTTAGGCCTGTAAATACCTAATCAAATACTCTTGCACTAAGTAGACATACAAATGGTGTTGCAGGGGTGGAATTCAATTTTTTTTACTACCAGTTCTGTGGGCGTGGTGTGGCTTGGTGGGCATGGCAGGGGAAAGATACTGCAAAATCTCCATTCCCACCCCACTCAAGGAGAAAGATACTGCAAAATCCTCATTCCCTCCCCACTCCTGGGGCAAGGATATTGCAAAATCCCCATTCCCACCTCACTCTAGGGCCAGCCAGAGGTGGTATTTGCCAGTTCTCCGAACTACTCAAAATTTCCGCTACTGATTCTCCAGAACCTGTTGAATAGCACCCCTGGGTGTTTGGGAAGGCAAATGAGGTCCAGGCAGAAGAAGAATGTCATGGCTTCAAAATCTAAAAAACTGGTTTGGACAAAACTCAGCAGCACTTTTTCATGCGGCTTTGATAAAAATAGGATCGCCAACATGATCGCCGACATCCGATGATGGATATGGCACAAGAAGAAGAAGTAGTAGCAAGCCACGTTGCTATGCCACAGAAGATCAGGATGGCATGGAAAAGTAAATTTCAAACCATTATCCTTGATGTGCTAGTTTTCTTAACGTAAGGACTAAGTCTTTGGAAGAAAGACTATGCTTCCCTCTCAAAATACACAAAGTAAAGAAAACTGATAAAGCTGTAGATTAGGGAAATTGTGAGTTGGTGCTTTTATTTAGACTTAGAATAACTTTACTGTCACTTTAAATGTACACCAATGGGCATACATTAAAATGAAATTTCATTGCATACATAGGAGATCCAATTAGGCAGCAATCTTTTTCTTGACCCTCCCATTGTGTTGGATTATAAAAACAGTTTCCAGAATATTTGTGGATTATGAGGATTGTAGTTTGGGCTGAAGAAAAATAGGATGAATTTGAAAGAGGATTTAGAGACTGAATTAGTGATCAAATCAAGATTCAGAGTTTTTTAATCTGCTGGTATATAAAGTCCTGAACAATTTGGGAATATAGTATCTGACTTCCCAATATAAATCTGTGCAATTAAAATTGTTGATTAGATAGGTCCTTGTGGGTTATATCACAACTTGTGGGCTATTATTTTCAACTGATATGAACCTGTCTAGGATGGCACCCACACTTTAAATCAGGGGTCTCCAACCTTGGCAACTTTAGGCCTGGTAGACTTCAACTCCCAGAATTACCCAGCCAACTGGCTGGGGAATTCTGGGAGTTGAAGTCTGCCAGGCTTAAAATTGCCAAGATTGACAACTCCTGCTTTAAATGAACTTTCTCATGTGGGCCAGCAAAGGACCTGTTACTACCTCTTCCAGTCTGTTTTACTAAAATTTGATTTCAATAGGGTTGCACCTTTTGGTTTTCAATGCTTGGATATTCTAATTATTTAATTATATTTTCCCTATCAGAAAAAATATTTTGAATTTTCAGGGTTTACTGTACAAGCAGTCCTTGACTTACAACAATTCATTGTTGTAGGGGATATAGACATGGAACCCTTGTCATGGACTGACCACTCACTCCTTCGCCTAGATCTTCGAACCGCGACCCCTCGCCGCAGGGAGGCGGACCCAACTAGATGGATCCGCCCCAGGCGCCTGATGGATCCTGATAGGTTCCAGACGGAGCTTGGGCCATTTCCTGAGGATCTAGCACATGACTCGGCCGAGGACCTGGTAGCCACCAGGGATCGGGCGGCTGGTGGGGCCTTGGACCGAGTTGTGCCTTTACGGCCTCTGACCCGATGCCGATCCCGGGCGGCTCCTTGGTTTACTGAGGAGCTGAGGGAAATGAAGCGCCGGAAAAGACGCCTGGAGAGCGGTTGGAGGGCCAGTCTCGCTGAATCTGATCGAACACTGGTAAGGTCGCATATTAAGGCCTACCTAGTGGCGATAAAGACAGCAAAGTCTAACTACTTTTCCGCCTCTATTGCATCATCAGGGAATCGTCCGGCCGCCCTGTTTAGGGTGACCTGCACCCTGCTCCATCTGGGAGTGCGGGAGGATCCCTTAGAAGGCAGGGCGGAGGATTTCGGACAATACCTGTATGACAAAATCGCTCAGATCCGGGGGGATTTGGACTCTGACTGGGTAGATCAGGGCAGGGTGATGAGGAACAGTCTTGAGAATGTTATTTGGGAGGAGTTTGATGCTGTGACTCCCGATGATGTGGACAGGATTTTGGGGAGACTTAGTGCGGCCACATGTTGGGCCGTGTCCCTCCTGGTTGGTACTGGCTTCCCGGGAGGTTACACGAGGCTGGCTCCAGGGCGTCATTAATGCTTCGTTGAGTGAGGGTCACTTCCCCGCTGCCCTGAAAGAGGCGGTGGTGAGGCCTCTCCTCAAGAAGCCGTCCCTGGATCCAGCAATATTGGCTAACTATCGTCCTGTCTCCAACCTTCGCTTCATTGCGAAGGTTGTTGAGAGTGTGATCGCGCAACAGTTTCCACAATTCCTGGAGGAAACATCCTATCTAGATCCGTTCCAGTCGGGTTTCAGGTCTGGGCACAGCACAGAAACGGCATTGGTTGCGTTGGTGGATGATCTCTGGAGGGCTCGGGACAGGGGTTATTCCTCTGTTCTGGTCCTATTAGATCTCTCAGCGGCTTTTGATACCATTGACCATGGTATCATGCTGCACCGGCTGGAAGAGTTGGGGGTGGGAGGCACTGTGTTGCGGTGGTTCTCCTCCTTTCTCTCCGACCGGTCGCAGTTTGTGTTGGCAGGGGGGCAGAGGTCGACCTCGAGGCCTCTCATTTGCGGAGTGCCGCAGGGATCGGTCCTCTTGCCCCTTCTGTTCAACATTTATGTGAAGCCGCTGGGCAAGATCATCCGTGGCTTTGGGGTGAGATACCACCAGTACGCTGATGACACCCAGCTGTACATCTCCACCCCAGGCCACCCCAACGATGCCCTTGAAGTGATGTCCCAGTGCCTGGAGGCTGTGCGGATCTGGATGGGGAGGAACAGGCTCAGGCTCAACCCTTCCAAGACTGAGTGGCTGTGGCTCCTGGCATCCCGATATAGTCAGTTGACTCCATCACTGACTATTGGGGGCGAGTCTTTGGCCCCCACTGAAAGGGCTCGCAATCTGGGAGTCCTCCTGGATAGGCAGCTGTCTTTGGAGGAACATCTGACGGCTGTTACCAGGGGGACCTTTTATCAGGTTCGCCTGATTCGCCAGTTGCGGCCCTTTCTTGATCGGGATTCCTTGTGCACAGTCACTCACGCCCTCGTCACCTCTCGCCTTGACTACTGCAATGCTCTCTACATGGGGCTCCCCTTGAAGAGCACCCGGAGGCTCCAGCTGGTCCAGAATGCAGCAGCGCGGGTAGTGATGGGAGCAACATGGCGCTCCCATGTAACACCGCTCCTGCGCGAGCTGCACTGGCTCCCGGTGGTCTTCCGGGTGCGCTTCAAGGTGTTGGTTATCACCTTTAAAGCGCTCCATGGCATAGGGCCTAGCTATCTCCGAGACCGCCTGCTGCTACCGATGACCTCCCATCGACCCGTGCGCTCCCACAGAGAGGGCCTCCTCAGGGTGCCATCAGCCAAACAATGTAGGCTGGTGGCCCCCAGGGGGAGGGCCTTCTCTATGGGGGCTCCCACCCTCTGGAATCAGTTGCCCCCGGAGATAAGAAGAATCCAGGACCTCAATGCCTTCCGTCGTTCCCTGAAAACCCATCTT